TCTCCGGGCTAGTTAAGTACAGATTTCCAAATTGATAACAACTTACATAGAAGCATAAAAAAGATCTTCCCTAGAAACCCCCTGTTTGGCTAAAGCATCAGCCAAAGAATTAGCAGACCTACTAACCCGTTTTACCTCAACTCTCATATTGCTGGTTAACCACTTTACTTTTTTTATGAGATCTTTGTAGCCCCAAATGGTGGTATCCAAGTTTAGGAGCCACCTTGTTGCCACCTGAGAGTCCCCTTCAACTAGGAGATGCTCCACCCCAAGCTGGTTGACAATCTGAATTCTTTGTACTGCAGCAAGGATTTCTGCCCTTGTGGAATCCCCCACTCCCACCGGTCCTGAGAATAGGGAAATTATGTTGCTGTCCTTATTTCTCAGAATAGGGAAAGTATGGTTTTTTATGTTTAAAACTTGAAATCTCATTTATGGTCATCTAAAACTTATATTTATTGTTATTGAATATATTTTGGGATTTATATAAATCTCCTAGTATATCCATGTGTATCTTAATTTTTCTTCTGTATCCATGCATGCCCAAGGTCTATCCCAATACGTCTCTTAAAATTGTCTTCCCGATACACCTTGCATTTCCAATACTTTGGACCTTTCTCCCATTGATCCTAACCACCACATAAATAGGGGTGATGGAGAGCTTCTTGAAGACAAGGGAGTGTTTTAGAGGCCTGTATGAAGGCTTCTCTATTTGTCTCTAACAAGGCCAGATATTGTAGCTGGTGTAATAAGTCAATATGTGCATATGCACCCCGGGTTCCTAATCCAAAGAAAGCTGAAAAGATTCTTATATACTTTTTTATAAGTATAAATAAATAATTCATTAAAAAAGAAAAGGAAGGGTACCAATAAGTGGTGACGAGGCATCACCCGCTTATATCAAAAAGAGAAAACAAGATACCCAGATTCAATACAAATTTTCCAAATTACATATTTAAAATCCAGGCTACCCAACACTTCCCCTAAGTTTTCCCCCAAGTCCTCCCCCCTTGCACATTGACTGAATTCTGGGTGAACCAAAACCCAGTCGGCCACTGATTTGCTTATTGCAGCTACTATCCTGTCCAAATTACAGCTTTTGTTATAAAAAATTCTTCTATTCCTCTCCTTCCAAATGTTCCAGCAAATTGCAAATAGGATGCAGCTCCAAACCACCTTCACCTTCTTGCTACCTCTTAACTTCAGTCATGAAGAAAAAAATTTCTGAAACTGAATTTGGAAGGAGAGGCCTTTAGTTTTTCCATGGGCATTTGCAACTGGAAGCGTATACTAATGCGAATTGGGCAGGATCAGTTGATGATCAAAGAGGTTGATTCAGGCTATGGTACCTTCCTAGGACTCTTAGGAGGGAACTTGGTGACTTGGAGAAGCAAGAGGCAGAGTATGGTGACTGGATCAACTGCTGATGCAAAGTTCAAATCTATGGCAAATGGGGTGTCATAATTAATGTGGCTGAAACAGTTACTAAGGAATTTCAGTGTTGAATTTCCAGGGCTTATTAAGTTGTAATGTGATAACAAAGCAACCATCAATATTGCTCACAAAGCAGTTCAACATGATCAAATCAAACATGTTGAAGTTGACAAACATTTTATATGGACAAAGATAGACAAGAATGAAATCTGCTCAACTTATGTCAAAACAGAAGACAAATTAGCCAACTTTTATACTGAAGGGGTCATATAGAAGAATTAGAAACTTGAATAAGTTTTGAGCAACTTGAACATGATAATCATTTATACTCCACTTGAGAGGGGGTGTAGGAATATATAGCTTATTATGATAAGTAAAGGGGTATTGTTGTAATTTCCTATTTTTGAACAATAAGTATAAATTGTTTAGGTGACCTGACAAAAAGGGCAACTCACCCAATTCAAGTAGCATTTCTTCCTCCGTTTCTCTCTTATACTACCCCCCTTCTCTCCTCTCGTTCTCTCTCTTACTTCTCACAATCCTAAGTCTTACTGGACAAAGAAAATTAAATAAAATAGTTGCTCAACAAATAAATAGTATTGTCATTAGCTTACATAGCAACTTAGCAACTTAAAATTTCTGAAATGTGCATGGTAGAAAAATGGAAATCCAACTAGACAAGCATTCACCATAAAGATTAAAAAGAAAACAAAGTTACCAACTAAGCCATCTAAGTTACCTTATTTTTGAATGCACTACCCATAAATACTGGGACAAATTTGCGTGCTATCGTAGCCCTGCGGATTGCCATCTATACAAAAGGAGTAAGACTATAAATATCGTGAAGATGATAATAGGACAGAAAACACATGTCAATTATTTCCAGATCAATAGATGCCAATGGAACCAAAAAAGTTAGTAAGAACTGCACCACTAGAAATTTCATAGTAATCAAATAACAGGAGGTAAGAATCACAAACTTTTTTTATCATCAACCAGATTATACTTCGACTAAATACTTTTTAGTGTTAACATATCAGTTTTGAGGCTCCACTTGGGCATGGCCCCACATAGAATACTACCTGCCAGCCAAATATCAGCCATAACGCAATTAAACGCAGCTGATATGTTGATTTTTCTTTGTGACTACTTACAAGGGTTTGTAGATGGTCAGGACCATCATCTTTTTTCCCAGGTTTTGGTCCAACAGTCAAGCAAATGATCTTGCACAATAATGTATGATTTTTAAAACACAAAGGTAAATTGTGGATAAAAAAAGCATCAAAATCCATGCCCTGCTACCATTATACAAAGCTTTGCAAACTTTGACATTAAATGCAAGCCAAACATTAATCAGCAAGCAGAGCCAAAGATAAGACAATACAAAGCAATTAAGGAAATACAAGCCATATTAAGTACAAATTTCTGTACATGCCATACAAAAAGTTTTGTAGCAGGCTATCAATCACAAACAGATCACCAATGAAGCCATGCAGTAATATCAACAAAAAGAGATTATCATATTAAAACAACATTTTGCAACACACCTCAAGGTCACTGGGTGATATTGGTTCATCATTTAGAAAAGCTTCAGCAAGTTGATCATCAACTTCAGACACCATTTCTATTAGTTCCCGCCTTTTTTCTGCAACTAAAGCTTCCATATCGGCAGGAATATCTGAGGTGACAACTTTTTCACTACAAAAGGCAGCAACTCAGTGAGAAGAAAATTTTGCAGATGAAATAGTGATGTTAAACTTCAAGAAATTAAGCATAGGCTTAAGATAGAACAAACCCATTTGAACCATGGAAGAAATAAGCTTTTAACTGCACAAGGTCCACAAGACCCTGAAATTCTTCTTCCAGTCCAATTGGAACCTGCACTGCAGCACTATGATGCCGAAGCTTAGACCTTGCCTACAGGAGAAGCGCTAGAGTCAGAAATGAAAAGCTGAGCCTTTTCAAAAATCAAATTTTTTTAAATAACTGGAAGAATTTTATTAGAAAGAACCAAAAAATGTGTATATACAACATGCCCAGCATCGCTTTTCGCAAGTGGGCTATCAGAACCCCCATCCCAAGTATACCACCTCTTTTCATTCTACATTTAAAGAACCCCAAAACAGCTGTCCACTATTGACTACCTGCTTGGTAAGTGTGTCAGCCAAGCTATTAGCAGGCCTTTTTTTGATTGGCAATCTATTAGCAGACCTGTTAACCAACAATAAAGTGCTATCTGTCGCCCTTATTAGACTTTCAGTTTCCTTCATGACTTGTCTATAACACCAATGTCCTCGCCCTTGGTTTCTTGGATGAGTAAGAAAGAATCTGTGGTTGCCATATCATCAATTGATGTAGAATATACAGCAAGGGCCCATGGTGTGTCAGAGCTACTATGGCTTAGGTCCCCACTAAGAACTGAATATTATGTTTTCTCGGTCATAACAAAAATTAAAAAACACCTTCAAAATCAGATAGTATTGGAGGCCCAATAAAAGATTGTTGTCTGACACCAAGCTGAATAGCTTGTTCAATGACTTGGTTAGATAGAGGGTAGTGAAAAGGCAATGTGGGACATTAAGCCCAATTATTAGACTGTAGTGTTCTTGAATCTTGAATGATATTTTTTGTGCTAAATACCTGATCCCCCGTAGTTGAGGTTCTCATATGGAAAAACATACAAAGATAAGAATCAGTGCAAACAGAGGTCAGATCATATCAAAAAGAAAATAGAAAGCCATAAACAAGAAAGCAAAGCAAGAAAAAAATATGAGAATAGGTTAAATGACCCAATGGAAAGCCTATAGCCTATGCCAATGAGAGAGAGAGAAGCATAAATTCACTATGAAGAATACGAAAATTTGGGGACAGAATCCATAACCCCCATACAACCAACAATCTACATCCCTCCTCTCTCACCCAAAACCAGAAAACAACAATGGCTTAAACAAAGCCCAAACTAAAAGGTTTCTCAGAGACTCAGACAAGACATGTATCAGTTGGTTTGTGTACAAGCCACATACAAATAACAAGAATTACAGAATGACCATACAACCCAAATTTACAAATATACCCAAACATCATCCAAAACCCTCTTAGCAAACTTGATAGATACAAAACTCTCAACGATGAAGTTCCTTTCTTTTTCTATGTTCCTCATCAGAAATCGATATGTAATTAATATAAATATTACATCAATGTCAGTAAATTCCAAAGAATCTGATCTGGGCAAAAACTCAAATATGTACATTTAACAATAATAACCTATGAATGGAGGGAGGCAAAGTGATATTGATATGATGATATCCATGGGATGGATGCATCATCCACCTTTAGATGTCATAACACTTCTACAAGGTTCAACAGTTGTTGATTGTTCACCTGGTTGAGGACTTTCCATGGATCTGCTCCCATTCTATCAAGTTTGTTAATGAATGCAAGTCTTGGAACTTCATATCTTCTCATTTGCCGATCAACAGTAATTGATTGACTCTGAACACCACCAACACTACAAAGGACAAGTATAGCACCATCAAGAACACGCAATGCTCGTTCAACCTCAATGGTAAAATCAACATGTCCTGGGGTGTCAATTATGTTAACCTGCAAAACAAAAACATGAATATGTATGAAATCCACAAAATAAATTACGAAATTGTTAATGCACTTACCAAAAATATTATTAACAACAGTTTTTATGGTAACTCGCCAAATGTGCAGTCATAGTTTTCAAGACATCTAGGTGATTTTGGGCGACACTGGGGCGCCTAGGCATTGCCTAGGCAATAAAAATTTTATAATATAAAAAACTGACTTTTGGCTAGTTTCCTAGTTTTATGTACCATTCAGCATGTATGTTAATTGAAAAAATAGCAATTCTCTTTATTAAGAACATTAAATTTCCTCTAAAAATGTGGCAAATCATCACATCTAAAAGATAAAAATCTTTTACATGTATTAATTTCATTATTT